AGCTAATGAAAACGAACGCCCGGTTGATATTGATGTGTTGATTCGTGAGCAGTAAGCTGTGATTTCTGGATAAAAGATCGTCCACATTGTACACAGGTGTACGGTCGTTCACCGGTATGGGTTCGTTCATGGCTCTGAAGATTACCTTGGCTAGCAAACGCTTTTGGACAAAATCTGCATACATAAGGCCGTTCACCGGTATGTGTTCGTACGTGTACCTGTAAATACTAGTTAACTTTCGTTGTTTTGAACTTTTGTATATGTGAAAAATGTTACAATTTTTTCTATTTTTTTTTTTTTTTTGGTGAAATTTTGTGAAGAAGTAAATTATATTGGGAATAAAAATGGAAAACATCTTGATATTTGAATGATAAAAGTAAATATGTACCAATAAAAAAATTCTAACCTGTAAACTTCCTGCATAAGCGAAACTTTTGTCACAGTAATGACAAATATGTTTACGATCCGATTGCTCGTGTACTTGTTTCACGTGTAATTTTAAATAATTTTTTAATGCAAACGTTTTGGGACAATAGTCGCATTGTAATGTCTTTTCGCCATGAGTTTTCTTATGTGTATACAATGCTGACGGTGACGATAAACATTTATTACATTTTGGACATTTGTAGTTTCGAATACCTGAAACGAAATTTAATTTAATGCAAAGCAAGAAGTTTGGAATAGAATGATATTAAAAAAAAAAAGAAAAATAGAGAAAATCCTGACGATTGCAGCAACTACCTGAAATTGCATTTACAAAAAACGAAAAACATTTTTGCTTAGCAATTGTGCTGCATTCGATAATAATTGAATTTTTTTTTTTCTTTTTTTTTTGATGAATTTTTGTGAGAAATAAATCATTAAAAAAGATGAAATGAATTCAACTATAAAAATGATACATACCCAAATGTGCACTCTTTTCGTGAACGGTCTTTGTACCATACTGAGCAAATGTTTTGTCGCAGTATTTACATTTGTAGCTGTAAATATGAGTGTGTTTAAGTAGTTAAGCAGAAAAATACAAAACAAAATTGATTCTTCAAATTAACGAATAATTTAGTTTACTAGGATCAGATGTCAAAAATGCAAACAAATTTTGAATTATAGTGAAGTACTAAAAATTTTTTTTTCGGTACTTCTTAGCTAAAATTTCAATGACTTACATTTCAAAAATAAATAAAGATGATCATACTGAAATTTGAATAAATGAAAAGTTTTGAAAAATTAAAAAAGAAACTAACGGCCGTTCACCGGTATGAGTTCGTTCGTGAACCTGTAGCGTTGCTTTTTGAGCAAATTTCTTTTCACAGAAACGACAATCAAATGGTTTCTCACCAGTATGGCAACGTTTATGAGATTCCAATATTGATAAATAAGGAAAAGCCTATGGTTTTAATTTAACATTAATAGTAATTTCAAAATTGGCATACGTAAAAAATCGGAGAATTTTAAGGATGAGAGGAAAAAAAAAACTTCGTTTTCACAAATCAACTCACATTCAAGATGTAATAAATGCAACATTCTCTCTCCCATAGCACTCGCTCTCTATTCATTTCAGTCATACCAAACTATTCGTTACAATATTATTTACTTCATAAATATAACATGAAATGTAGATGTAAATGATTGAGTAATTTAAAAGTTTAATAAGCCAAAATAGAATTATTATAGCAAATTGGAAGTTTAGATAATAGATTGTATACCTTGCCACAATCACCACATACATGTCGTTTTCCAATATGATTGTTAGCTGGTGCTGTTGATGGTACCTGAGATGGTAGTAGTTCGGTACTTGTATGAGCTGTTTCGTTATGAAAAATGAAAAAAGAAGTTATTGGTAGTTGTGATTGTTGTAATGGTGTAGGTGTAGTTGAAGGCACCTGCGTTAATGATTCACTAAGTGAAGATGTTGAAGATAATGAATCGGATATGGGATAATCGGATTCATCGGATAGGATACGAGCTGCTTTTGATAATGCTTCAACAACACATGAATCGAATTCTTCCTAAAATATTTTGCAAGATATTTTTTAGATTTGAAAAATAAATCGAATAATATGAACAAAACATTTTTTTTATTGAAAATAAATTCCAGATATTTAATAGCTTTGAAAAATACATTTATCACATTATCAGATGCTATTTAGACATTTTTCTTTTTTTTTTTGATAGGAAAACATTTACAAAATTTAATTGCACAAATTTCCTTAGAAAATAGTGTGAAAGAAGGAGCTTTAAAGTAAGAATGAAAAGGAATTTAATTTTTAATGATGAAATCTATCCCTCTTTCTTCCTCCCTTCACGATAACATATATTTATTTATTCATGCACTTTATGATTGAGTAAAATTTTGAAATGAAAAAGAAAGATGGTAAATTTAGACAATTCCAACAAGCCAAACATGCAATTAAATAATTGAAAAGTTGAAATTAGAAAAAAAGCTATGAATATATGTGATTAGAAAATTTAAACCTTCCTTAAAAACATAAAGAACTGAAAAAGTTAAAAATATAGTGCAGTGGAGAGGAAGATAAAGTGATTAAACGATATCACTTAATTTGCATTGCATGCATTCACCATTCATGCTATGTAACGCATTTCTTTAAACAACATCAGGAGAAAAAAAAAGTGGAAAAAAATTTTGAAGTAATTATTCTTCATTTTTTTGAAATGCAGGAGGAAAAAAAAGCTGTTTGAAATTTTTTTTAATTTGAAACACACCATTAACTTTATAATATACATCTTTCAATCGTTATTTATATTTAACTGCCAATAGCATAAATTATTTATTCAATCATTTTACAAGTATGTGATACTAAACTTAGACATTCTGCTACTCAATACGAATCGATGCGTGATTTTAACATTACTACATATGTCATGTCACATATTTTTTATAGCTTGCCCAACGGAATTTACGATGTCAACTGTAAATTTATTATATGTTGTTGAATTATTAGCTTTAGTAATAATGATTATGTAAAATGAAGTAATGGAGTAACGGAAATAACAAAAGTAAATACTAACATCATCAGCAAACATTAAGCACGTATCTTTTAAATTATAAAGCGTATAATGATTTATCATCTTGAAGTATTCGTTCTTTTGTTCAGCTTTTATGAATTCAAAAAAGAAATCTAAAACATATGCCACAAAGCGCAATATGATATAAGACCGAATAAATCACAAACTCTTGTCTATCTTCTTAATTAAATGTAAACATTGATAGTGAGATTATCTTTAATACTAACAAAAAAAAAATTAATCAAATAAAAATATTAACAAATCTCTGTAAAGTATATTAATCTATGCTTGCTGATTCTGATTTATTTAGTAATGAATGTGAGAATCCAAATAAAAATGTTACTCAGTAGAAATGCATCGGCACATTTTTGTGATAGCAAGAAAAATAACTTAAAATTACTACATGTATTTAAGCTTTCATAATAAAAACAGCTTGTATCACATTGATAATATTATAACAATCTTTTAATTCAAAAATCCTGTGGTTATTTTTACGTTTTTTTTTTTACAAATACAAATAAGAAATATCATAATTTTTATTACTTATTAGAAATATCAAGTTTGCTTGGATACTGATAAGAAGATAAATGTAAGAAATAATTTCGAAAATAATATTTGATGCATACCTGATGCATGACTTCTAAAGACTTAAAATATTTGAATTACCTGCTTCATAATGTGACAAAAATAAATGTGATATATGAGATGAATAAAATTGTTGTCGATTTGTTAGGTAGCAAAAATGAACTGGACGTTGATTGAGGAAATACTGTTGAAGAAAGTAGTAACTTGTAATCAGAGGAAATTGAATGAACAATACCATTGACCATTCTACGTGACCAAAATTGCGAAATGCATCCGCGAACCTTAAACAAACAATTTTCTTTCTTCCTTTCTTTTTTTTTACAGGAAAAAGTCAAATTTCCAAAAAAAAAAAAAAAAAATTCGATATGTTTTTTTCATTCCCATCCCACCAGCTAAAATTATATCCTAACAAAAATTTAGTATACTTAATTTCAAAGTAGAATTCTCAAAACTATTCAATCTGTATATTGTAATCGTAAAAAAAAAACTATTTGCTAGATTTTGAGGATATATTATATATATATGTATAATAAGCCATAAATATGTCAATAAAATAGCATGTCATATAACTGGCACATTTCACGAAGCTATACTATCAGTCTAGTATGAACTAATAGTTTAAACAAGAATCTAACCGACCTGCAGGTACACGAACTGATAAAATTAATTTATTTAATTTGAAAAATTCATAAATATGATTTGCAAATATGGAAATATGAAAAAGCTTCGAATTAACAATTTTGTTAATTAAAAATTAACAATTTTGAATGTATAATTATGAAAATGATGACAGCAAAATATTAATGTAGTAAAGTGATCATATAAAGGCTTCAACCAATTTTATTTTTATTAACAGACCAATAATAAGCATATAAATATGAAAAATGTATAAATATGTCCCAAAAATCTATAATTAATCTTTCCCAGTTATAAATTATAAAAGTATCAAAAATATAGATAAATTATTCTATTCATTTCGTTTCTTTTTTTTTAAAATATATTTGGTATATTACAATTAATTACTTCCTTTTCAATAATATTCCATTCATTAATTGATAAATGATTGTATTTTATTTTATATTAAAAATATTCCTCGATTAGAGAGCTAAATGAAAGAAATCTTAACATATGAATAGCTAACGTATCCATTTTGAGCATGAAATGTAAAAAGAATGACAATTTACAATCGAATGAATGTATTAATCCTTATTGATTCTCTCATTAAAGCAAATGGCTAGCCGAGAATTTTTATAATTCTAAATGATAGCAATTATTTCTCACTGTTTTTAAATTGTGCTAAATAAAAGTTAGCTAAATTTTCCTAATAAACCATCATCATCATCATCATTTTATATGTGTATGCGATATATATATAT